AAGGAGTTCGTCAGGGAATAGCTATTTCTGCCTCCAAGCAGTAATGTGACCTGAAAAAGACACTTACCATTTCCATGTTTGCCAGTGAGAATCGGCAAGGCCAGCATGACCATGCCTGTCCCGGACCAGACGTACTTCATGAAGAACTGCTCTAGCATTATGTACCATAGCTTTTTGTTAAAGACAGATGTCATCTGAGTCACTAGTTCCTTGTAGGCGGATTGGAATTGGCCTAGTTCCACCTGTAGAAAAAAAATCGATTTTTATTTTTGGAAATGAAACTATTGTTTCGGTTCTAAATCATTTGTTTTTTTTTTTTCAAACAAACCAGCGTTTCGGGCCCTTCACAGATCCCAATGGTCACGGCTGACTAAGATAGTAAAGTCATCAACCAGTTATGTCTAATATTAATGCTAAATAAACAAAATAAAACAAAATAATTTATTTTCAGACAAATTAAGTCCATAGCTGGTTAGTTTAAAGTATAGAACCAGGAATAGAGACGAAATGTTATTTAATATGTTTAAAAACTATTCTGCCAAATCATTACTGTGACAACTGCGGTCTGATTGGCCAGCCCGAATTCGAAACAATTGACGGGTGTCGTCAATTGTTTCACTTCAAATCGACCAGTTCAACTTGAGCTTTGCTATAATGGACGAAAATTGAAAAATTACATATTTAATATTTAATTACCGATGAAATGTGATTCCGTTTGTTCTGTAATTAAATGTTTTGCTGTTTTTCCCACACCACAATAGTAAGAGATATTACAATAAATACAGAATATTTTTGGAATATACGAAGATGTACACACAGGTCAGTTGTTGGCGCTGTACTATCACAGTTTTCTAAATTTGTGATTTCAGCGCAAACTTAAGTTGATATTTAAAAGTGATTAAGGCCCATTTACCTGATGAGTTGCCAGGGGTGGATGACCCTTATTTCGTATCTATTTCTGGTTATATACTCGATGGAACCCGATCTATCGAGGTAAACTTTTTCGAATGTGTAGCTCGATATATCGAATGGCAATTACCGTGACAGTGCGATCGGCGATCATCTTAAAGATACCGTTGGCGCTCCCCCGTATACGACGTATTATTGAAGCAGTCTTTTTGCGTAGTATGGCATAAAAATCGTCTACGTTCACGTCCGCGAATATGCCTAAAACGCTGTAATATCGCGGGAGCCTCAACAGTGCCTTAAAGACCTTATTGTATTGGATCCGCAAGGAATTGAAGGAACTCTGCCTAAAATAGGCCCCCAGGCCGCTAGTATAAAACAGTGGCAGTGGCAGTACGCACGGGATAAAGTTTACTCCGCTAAGCACCCACTCTACAGAACAGAAGCGAAGAATTCGACTGTGAACTGGCAATCGGTACTATCTCAGTTTTGACAACTTTACAGGCGAAGCAAAAAATTGTTTGCGTCATTTACATAGCATTTGGTTTATTAAATAAAAATACGTAGATTTCAAATATTTTTATTACACATGGTATGTATGTACACTATGTATTTTTATTTAATAAACCAGATGCTATATAAATTATTTTTTCTTCATCCTATAAAGATGTCAAAATTTAGATAGTACCGGTTGGTTGAAGTCTGTACCACCTCAGGCAACCGTGACCATGGGACCTGTAAAGGGCCCGAAACGTCGGTTTGTTTGAAAAAACAAATATACGCGATTTAAATACGGAAAAATTGTTTCATTTCCTATGTGTAACAATCGCGAAAACCTAAGAACTCGATGGTACCGGTTGCCAGTTCACAGTCGAGATACCACCTCTGCCTCTTTCCTGCTATCTTCCCTTCTATGATGCTTCTATAAAAACAGTCGTGACGTATCTGATGCCCAAACATCTTTCCTCTTCGGTTCTCTATTGTCTTTAATATGCTTATTTAAGAAATTAAATTGACTGCAAAACCCCACCCACCTTATGTCCGCCGTAGAAGGCGACCTCCTCAGCATGAGCGATCAGCCTAGCATGGACGTGCCTTAGGTTGGCCTTCATCCGCGCCTCTTCACCAGCCAAGGCTCCGAACCGAGGACTCAGCAGCCGCAGCAGCTGGCCCGTTAGGCAGATCACGATGAATGATAGGCCGGGACCTATTACAAAGGATATTTTTTAGATGCACGTCTAGGATATAGTTTCTCCACGGGAGTAGCGTTATCTATACTTTGTCTTTTTTCAAAAAAGGAATAAAATGACAGTTGCCCACTTGCAAGCGGCTAGTGATTTCAGTCGACAAATATTCTAACGACTATCGACTGTTGGTCACGCTTTAGCCGAACTTGTTTCATTTGAATTAATTCATTTTATTTGTTTCAATACACTGCATTTAAAACTAATATGTGTATTAAAAATACAAAGACGAGACGTATTTTAAAGCTTAATTCAAGTAAGATAAATCAAATCCACCTGTCCTAAATTAAAATGTATACGAATAAAAATCAATTTCGATACACTGATAAAGAAATCTATTCTTATTATTCATTATCCTTATTTTGACAGTAATAACAGAATTTATAATCATTAAAACCTTGTAACATTCACAATTCAGACATTTTTGCCAGATTATAACTTCTGTCCCAATCTATCGATAAAACTATCGATACGATAACCATCCCGCAACCCCGCAAATGTCATTTTACTCCGTCTTCAGAAAAGACAGAATACTATTTGCGTTCTCCATTTACAACAAAACACGAAAAACACAACTTTCAAAGCTTTTACTCAACTAAAATATCGCAGCGCACCCGCACACGTCAATATTATAGGCAATAAATAACCCTGTCTCCCCTGATATTGAAAACGAAATCAGAATTTCTGAAAATCTGCAAGAATACAGTTCGATATAACAATATCTCTCACATACACGCAGTATTATTGTGTGTGTGCGACATGCCTAACGATATAACTCCATTAATAATAACCGTCAACGTGGCCTATAGCGTCATATCTTTGAAAGAAGAAACAGTAAAATTGTCGGCCTATATTGAACTTTGACAACATACCGATAAAGATGTTGCCCTTCATTTTGCTGGAATAGCTGGCGAGGGTCAGTACAATGAGCAGCAAGTCGAAGAGCGGTTTTGTAAGTGAACTGTACAGGTGGGCCACGGATTGGGTGAACACAGATACGTCTTCTGTGAGTCTGTAAAGAGATACAACATGTTAATTGACATGTTTGCTTATATGTAATTTGTTTAATTATTTATTCATATAACATAAAATGATCATAAGATCGTTAGTAACTCTGGGCCAACGTTAATGTAGCTAGGGTCAATGCCGTTCTATTAATATCTAATTTATATTCATAATATAAAAAGATTGACATCGTTTTTGAAAACTTAGTAAGATTTTATATCAGAGATACTGTTAAACCTACTTGGTGCCCACTGAGAATATACAGGGTGTATGATTAAGGTGACCGCACATCCCGTTTTTCCCGCTTTTTAGCTTCATGTCCCGCTGTCCTCGAAATACTTAAAAATGTCCCGCTGTGACAAAACAGGAGGTCTACTTTCGTTCTCCATCCGACATCCGTCCGAAACAATTACGTAATAAAAAATAACGTAATGTCAAATATGAAGCTTCATTCGCATTATGCATTTATTATTTTGGTCGACTATTACTTATACATAAATGATACAGCCAAAGAACAATAAATACAATAGAAATGAACAATAACTTATTCCATTTTAATAAATTTTCTATTTTTTATGTATTGTAATAAAATATTTGTTATACATAAGAAACGAAAGTAAGCCTTATAACGCTGCAATATGGACGATTTCTTTTTTCGGCGAACGTTAATATGCGTTAATCGTTGTCATCTTTCAGCTATTGCCGCTAGATGGCAGCGCATTGAATGAAATTTCAATATAAAACCAAAACGTCGTAACTTGCAATAATAAAAGTGGGTAAAATGAGTCAAGTTTAAATTGTATTAACAGTCCAGAATTGTTAAATTTTTTGAAATTAGATACTTCGGCCAATCATTATCAAGATTTCATAGCAGTTAACATTATGATAAAGTGTTTTTTTTAATAGGACAGTATGGGGAAATCCGAAACCATAGACGATACAAGGAAACTGTCTTAGGAACCATTAAGTCTTTTTTTTTGTGAAAACAATTCTGGTATAGTCAGTTTTTTGTTAAACCGAGTGTTGTCTACAAAAATTAATGAAATTGATCATAATTGTTTTAGTACTGTTCGATAAAGTTGCATGTAAGGATCATTTCATTGTATGGGAAGAAAAAATCGGGACACCAGAAGTTGGTCAAATTTCATAAAATGTTTTGCGTATGAAATGAATCAAATTGACTATTTCTTAATGCTGATAGACTCAGCTTTTTGTAAGGATGATTTCATTATACGGGACGAAAAAAATCGGGACAGCAGAAGTTGGTCAAAGTTAAGGATTAAGGCATTTTTTTTCTTCCGCGGATACAGCAGTTAGTGAGAAAGGATGCCATTTTGAAACAAAGTGCAGTTGCAAAAGAACTGATTATTATAGACCAAAAGCACATCGAAAATTTACCTGTGATCAGCATTTTCAATCCTAGCATCTAAGTTAGCGACTCTGTAGTATGTCTGGTTTTTGAAGTATAGCTCGTACGCGTGGTTCACCAGACGGGTTCTGAAAGCCAGAGCTAGACGGCTCTCCAAGTAGCGGATCATGGAGTTGATGAATGTCGCAGGGACAGCTATGCTGAACCATTGCAAGAGTAGAGCTGCGAAGCGGCGAAAGTCCTTTTGGACTATGTGTTTTACTGTGGAAACAAGAAAAATTAACTAGAATAGGGATCAGACATTGCTTATTTTAACAGAATTTTTATTGTTTTTATTTAATGGTTTAGACTGCATATAGCCACCGAAACAATGAATTCATTGCAAACCAAATTTTCCGATCGCATAATTTCACGAAATTCAGCAGTTAAGTGGCCAGCTCGATCATGTGATTTAACACGGCTGGATTACTTTTATGGCGTTATGTTAAAGACAGAGTCTATACGGAGCCAATCGAATCGATTGCAGCCTTAAAACTCAAAATTCGTGAAGCAATAAACGAAATAGAACCACCATTTTGTCAAAAACTGATTAAAAACTTTGATAAAAGAATCGACATCTATAACTGTGGTCGTGGTGGACCTTTATCAGATATCATTTCTCATTCATAATTGCCAAACTTTACTTTTTTAATACAATGAAAATTTGAATCAGTTTATCTAAATTTATTGTTTTATTTTGATTTACAAAACAAAGTTTTTATTGAAAAACCCTTTACAATTTATCACTAAACTGCGAAAGCAGTTTGTTGGCGAGATTACACTCACAACCACAATACCATAGTATACCTAGAACGAGTACATTTATCAAAACTAGTGTAGAATGTCGTTGTAATCTTTAGGTAACGCACTTTTGATATCAGTTTAAAGGTTCTTGATATCTCATATGTTTAGGGAATAATCGGCCGTGCACACTTAACGATTACACCCTGTATAACATACTCTAAGTAAGAATAAGTTGATTTCTAATTTACGGATGATGATTGATGTAGTACTTAATTCATGCGCCACGTTTTACGAAAGACTTGTTTTGATCAATAAATCAGGTGGACAGTTAACAACACCCATACGTACCAATGGACCCCTCCAAACTAGCAACATAAATGGACAATAAAGTTCTGCTAAACAAGCAAAACGTGTGTGCTGATAGAAGCGCCACCTCGTGGCACTTCACTCCGGGCACCATGATCTTGGCGAGGGACAGCAGCTGCTTCAGGAACTCCAGATTGAGCCCAGGAATATGTTCCTCGGGTGTAGGGAGATCTTCTGCATCTTCCTGCAAACAGTTAAAAAGGAACTCAATAGAATTTTTTTTTATACTGCTAAGTGACGGAACGAAAAAGTCGTGTGTCTGGTGGTAAGCGTCACGCCTGTCCCTAAGTGTCACTCAGAGCTTTAAATCACAAAATATCTGAGGGGCACTGCCACTGGGCCCGACATCCTGAGACATAAGTTGACAAGTCCCATGTGCCTGTAATTTCAAAGCACCCTTACTGCTTGGCGGCAGAAAAAGGTAAGTTGGCAGTGCTTCCCTGGACGAACTCTATCACATGGAGCTCTGCTGTTATTAAAACACATATCTACAGCCGATATAGGTGGTGAAAGATAGTGAAATTGACAATGAAAGTGATCCCAGAGGAGGCTTGAATTAGGAATTAATTAAATCCCAATACACTGTGTGAACCTGGGCCTTTATTTTTTTTTATGATACCATGTGACGGGACGAACAAGTCGTGCGCCTGCTGGTAAGCGACACGCCTGTCCACGACAGTTACAGTGCCACTCAGTGCTTTAAATCGCAAAGATTTGAGGGGCTCTGCCAATGAGCAGTTACGTCTCAGTGTGACAAAAGTTGACAAGTCTAGTCATTCATAATTAATTTATTTGTGAAAACATAGGTTCTATACAAGTTTAATAGCAGTAGAGCACTTTGTGGAAGAGTTCGTCCAAGGAAGCACTGCCACCTTACCTCTTTCTGCCGCCAAGCACTAATGTAACTATTAGCGCTCCGGTTTTGAAGGGTTAAAGGTGGTGATGAAACTATAGGCACATGGGACTTTTCAACTGACAGTTCCCCTAAGATCTTTGCAATTTAAAGCTCTGAGTGACACTGCAAATGGGTAGGCGTGTCACTTACCACTCACTTAGTAATATAAAACAAAAATGTTGTCTAACATTTACTTATTATTTTACACATACAGTGGCTGTAATTAATTAGGTATAACATTTAAATAAAAAGTTTTCCGTTCCATTCACTAATATAGAACATTTGGTAATCTATTTAAATAAAAATGAATGTATATGTTTGTACAGAGATGGGGTCACTTGGTGGATGTCGGAGAACGGCCAGCAACGACGAAGCGAACTAAATAAGAGATGTTGGGGTGACTTAGACGTTTATATAAGAGACTGGCCACACTGCGCCAAACTGGCAGCTGTAGAAGTCGAGAGGAAAGGCCTTTGCCCAGCAATTATGCTTTTTTAAACTGACTTCAAAAAGAAGGAGGTTCTCAATTTGTGAACCGATTCTGATCAACAAGTCATGCGCCGGGTGATGTTGTCCAATATTTATATTATTTATGTGGAATCTCAGATTACAAATCTGAGTGTGGAATATTAGTTTTTACTATTATAAAAAAATCCGACTACAGTTAATGCCAATGAGGTGGTCATAGAGTAAACAAAAGACACTCACGATGTGTTGCTTGTTGTCAGTGTCAGCGTCCCCCCGGCAGAGTGCACACTGGTCGGCGCCGCACCGGCCTCCGCACGCGCCGTTCGACGCGTCCACTGCTCTGTGGAGCTTTCCATTTTTTTCTACCTGCAAACCGATGTAAACAGACCTTTATTATTTTAGATTTTAGAGTTCGTCCAGGGAAGTACTTTTTACCGGTTTTTAGGGTGCTGGTGAAATTATAGGCCCATGGGACTTGTCTACATATGTCTCAGGGCGATGGATGCGATTTAAAGCTCTGAGTGGCACTGCAAAAATTGGGACTATGTGTTAGATAAAGATGTATGGAAAGACAACATGAGTCTAGATTCCAGACAATTAAGATTCAATGTGTTTTCCATAGTATTTAAGTTTATTTGAAAAGAGCAATCCCTAGAGTTTCTTGCTCGTTTTTCTCAGGGAAGTCGGACCAGACAAAACAAATGGAACAGGATATACTATAATATCAAAGGATAACATGATCGTCACATTTTATATGCATTAATTTTCTTCTATATTTATAATAATTTAATTTATTTAGGACAAATATTCATATTGTGCTAGTTAAGTAACCCTTATAAACCATATTTGTACAATTCACAAACAGTAAACTACATTTCGATCTAGAAAAAGAGCAGTTCTAACACACTTGTACAGCTACCCATAGACAAGAGGACTCAACGAAATAGTTCTAAACAGGGCTTGTGTTTGGTTTCATAATGGCACTTATCCGCCGCCATGACCAACGCGCCCCACCGCCAAGCAATACGCGCACGCGCCTCATCTTGAAGCACCTGAACTTCCGATTAAAGTTCCGTTATTAACGTTGCGGAAGCAGAAACGGAAACAGATGAGGACACGCGTGCGAAAATTCCGCAGTTGCGGAAACAGAAGCAGAGGTTTGTTGCATCACTAGTATTGGCCCATATTCATCCTTTTCGGCCACCGTCTGAAGGAGGCCGTTGGCGCTGTCTCGCACCGCACCACGGATACGCTACCCGCTTCCGCAATATGGCGCAGAAGCCATCCACTCGCACCTCAACCAGCATTCTCGATGCGCTACAGTAGCGCGACAATCCCAACAGCATTCTAAGAGCGTCATTACACAGGACGGGCAGGGCGTGATAAGATTTCTGTATGTAGGTACTTGACCCACAAACTACACGTGGAAAATTATTGGCCAAACGCTTTTAAAACCGTGAACTTTACGGCTCTATATATACGGCTTATATTTTATACTAATTGTTTATTTATTCCTCACATCTCGTCGCATTCGCTTCCTTATTTTCCTCTATCTCCACCATTCTAATCTCGTTTCCAAATTTCCTTTTTTTAAGGTACTAAGTGACACGGGACGAGCAAGTCGTGCGCCAGGTGGTAAGCGTCACGCATGTCCATAACACTGCGCCCATCATCCTAAGACATGAGTTGAGAAGTCCCATGTGCCTGTAATTTCACCAGCACCCTTACCCTTCAAAACCGGAACGCAGCAATGCTAATATTGTTGCTTGGCGGCAGAAATAGGTGAGGTGGCAGCACTTCCCCGGACGAACTCTTTCACAAGGAGCTCTACTGCTACTTACGTTTTCATTTAACAATTTATTAAATAAAACTAAATTTATGTTATAAGCTTAGTACAAGAAGGTATACGAATAGGACAAGTAGAGTCTGATCATGACCTCTCATGGCATCCGTAAATATTTCCTCCTTCCCACGCGCAAAAACAACAGCACACTAATATTAAATAAATTTCTACAAACAGCTACTTCTCGATCAATAGAGATCCATTCACAAATTACAATTATTAATTAGCACGTGTATGCTAAAAGATACACGTGCTAATTAATAACGGGGTTACGTAAACAACCTTAAATCTTAAGGAAAAAATATGTAAGGATATTGTTGATGTCAACCAATCTTTTGTTAGATAAATTAACAACTTGTCGCCTTTTTTGAGTTGATAAAAAATATCATTTTAATTAAAGTAGATTTTTTAAAGTCTGTTCAATGTCACGATGGATCCAAGGACGGATCGAAGGAATTTTTTCTTAAGCGTGAAACACACGTGCCCGCGTTTGGTGTGTTGTTGTCCATACAAATACACGGAATTAGACTCGCCGCGGTGACGACCCGACCCGTACCCGACGCTCGCCCGACTCGCGCCCGGCCCGCAACCGCCCCATGTGTGTTTCACGCTTTAGTGTTCGATCTTTGTATAAATGATTATAACAAATAGTGGAGTAATTTTACAAAAATAACTGACTATCATGGTGGTCAAACATCGTGATATTCAATAAACTTAAATTATTAAAAAAAGTAGATGGCTGAGTGAAGAAATAGATTTCTCACAGATCTCAGAGACAGCTACGGCAAAAAAGTCGTTAAAAACCAACCCAATATCTCCAACAAGCACATAGGAAAATGCGGAAATATAATCGCTAGTACGTGCCGTGGCTTAGTTAACATAGCGCCTGGCACGGTTTGGAGACACGAAGGATTTTTTTCTTAGTATGCGATGTTTGTATTGCACATCATATTAATGACATTAAAATCAATTAGATCCACTTAGACTGAGATATAGAAAGGATTAACAAAAACTAGAAAAGTGACGTCACTCCACTTATGAATACGGAATCGTATTAAATCGGTTATAAAAAACTTTATCACATCCATGTAATAATAAGAGTTAATAAATTTAATAAATGTAATAACTCGCTAAAATTTTTTTTACGATACCCGGTGGACGGCACGAACAAGTCGTGCGCTCGGTGGTAAAAGAGGCCGCACCCCGGACCCTAACCCCTAACCTTTACAACTCCATTCCCCACAAAATTCCCAATAAAATTTGTAATTCCCCAAACATTTTAAGTTGTCTCAAATCGCCTTTTCCTATTTCAAACATAGCCTAAATGTCTCAATATAGCCGAAATGGCGAAAAATCGTGGTTACAGTGCCACTCAGAGCTTTAAATCGCAAAGATCTGAGTTACATTGCCACTGCGTCCGTCATCCTGAGACATAAATTGATAAGTCCCATGCCGGTAATTTCACCACATCCTTACCGTTTGGTGGCAGTGCTTTCCTGGACGAACTCTTTCACAAGGAATTTTACTGCTATTAATAGAACGATACAACGTTACGGAATCGTGTAAAATGGATATGAATTTAATAACATAAATAGGATACACTTATCGATTTCTCCGTCAACGAAGATTTAGATAAAAAAAAATAGTTTTAATTCAGTGCAACACCTATGTTCAGATATGGACAGACTCACCTAGCTCTAAAACTATGTGAATAATATATCCATAATTGTATTAAACAATATTTCGTCAAATTATGAATATAAATAGGTCGCACGCTCATCGTAAACGACGTCATATGGCTATTTCTAAACTAATGCAAATTCGTATCCATAATCTCATCTTTGTATGATAATTCATTTAAATCAAAACCTGAAGTCAGAAATTATTTTTAAATTGTTAAGTATTTGGACCATATTTATTTTAGTAAAACATTGCATTTTCTTATTTTATGAAAAAACATATTTTTATTTATATAACAATAATAACGCACTCACTCTACATATCCCCGCAAGGGAAACCCTGACACACACATAGACAACCACAAATTACACCCAAACTCATGAGAGAAATAAATGTAGGCCATACAAATATGCGTGGCAGTCCGACATGGTAACCGTTCGGCCACAGAGGCAGTTAAATAATATTTGACTAACTTCAGCTGTTCTAAAATAAGACTTAATGATGACACGAAACACCAGCAAAAATCATATTACAAGTGCAACCATCATTTTTGCACTCCGAAGTAATTTTCGAGGTTTCAATAAATAAAGCTCTGCAACTGCAACTGCCTCTGTGGCCGAACGGTTACCATGCCGGACTGCCACGCAGAGGTCCCAGGTTCGATTCCCGGGCCGGGAGAAATATTTGTATGACCTACATTTGTTTCTCTCGTGAGTTTGGGTGTAATTTGTGGTTGTCTATATGTGTGTCCATGGCACCCGCGACACAGGGTTTTTCCCTAGTGCGGGGCTATGTTGAGTGTGTGTGTTATTATTATATTATAAAGCGAAAATGGCAGACTGCGCTCGAGTCTGCTGAACTCCGCGAACTGTTGGCACACGTACCACGCAAACTTAAACCTTCTGTGCTTCTACTGTATTTATTGTTCTATGGGTTTATCCGTGCACCTCAATTCAGTGACGGGAGCTCTTGACAGGAGCTCGTAACGAAGCCGGCAAACTGTTTTCCTTGCTTGTAACGTGCCTACCTACTTCTGTAGAAATATTGCGAGGCCGTCAAAAAAAGATACAGATGAATCTATTCCTCCCCTCAGTTCTTTGCCATTTAAAGCTCTGCAACTGTTTTGGATAGACGTGGCAGTACATATGATCCAATAACAAAAGAAAACTCACCTTATAATTATTGTTGTTGTTACACGGCGGAGCCTGTTTCTTTTCTCTCGTGCCATAAACTGCGCACGCGGCCAGTGCCACTCCAACTCCCACTCCCAAAGCCAACGAGGGCTGAAGCTGCACCCTCGACGCCTGCTCTCGAATCTTCGTTAAAATCGCCGGCATCTTGATTTTTTATAGAACCTTCTGTCACCTTCTATATGACATTTACGCTTTTATATCTATTATAGTCCAATTCAAGAACGACAAAAATATCATATGTGTTTCATAATAACATTTACGCTTATAAGTTCTATTTATAATTCATATAGGATAAATTTCACTTTAGTTTGTTTGACGTATAACTTTATACGACCTTGTTAAGCTGCTATAAATCTCTTTTACTATTTTTAATGTCAATTCAAGGTGCTAGTATTTAGTTCTGTTTCTGAACACTATTAAAACTTAAAATAAGAGATCAATTATACGTATTTTAAAATCACAGATTGTTAAAATAACAGGTTCTTTTCTATTATTGTTTTTTAGGTTTTAATGTTCTGTTCTTGTTGCTCGTCCATTTTTCTGAAACAAAAAAGAAAATAATTTAATCGCTATGCTTCGAAAAACATTTTTAGTATAAAATAATTATTGTGATTACATACAGTTATCATTTACACATTGGAAATTAAATTTAAATCTCGTATGTTTGTTTTTTCAACGTTTCCGGCCCTTTGCAGGTCCCATGGTCACAGTCAACTCCAGGGTCAAAACCATTACCATGGTAATTAGCATCACTAGCGACACTCGCATAATATTATTAACTAGTCGTCATAATGTCACTTTTTAACCGACCTCCAAAAAAGGAGGAGGTTCTCAATTCGACTTCATTTTTTTGTATCTATGTATGTTACGCGATAACAGATTTTGATGATTCTGTTTTTGTTGAAAAGAGGGTACCTCAGTTTAACGAGTTTCAAAAAAGAACGTCGTATTTTTGCGAATTAAAATATCAACTATGACGGTACTCAAACGCTCTACTGCCTCGTAATTAGTTAAATTCTTGCAACCGGGCCATAACCCTTTATTTAAAAAAAAATATTTGGCCACTTCCATTCTATCTCTTTGGTTTTTTTTTTTTGTTGTGTAACGTTTGTTTGGTTTTCGTCTAAATATGTGAAGAGGTTGTATGGTGGAACCTTCGCCAACCCAAATAAATGGGTGGAAACCTTAGAATAATTACGCATAGAAACCTAGTCCGCACACGCTAAGTAAGGCAAATTGAAGCGCGCCAAAAGGGCCTACACGAGCGGGCGGGCCTTCAGTGCTCAAGGTCAACTTGCACCGCGAACAGATCAAGAATTTTAGCTAAAAATGACGAAACGTGCGGTAAATGAGTGTACAAATACGTCAGACAAACATAAAATAGATACTAACATCACATTCCTCAAGGAAGTAACGCGTTTCAACTTGTATTTTTATATAAATATTCACTAAAACCGAAAATTAACCTACTACTAAAACTAGCCTACATGAATTTGATTTTTGCCTCACTTGTGACAGTTCGTTTGATATGAAACTATCATTCTATGCGTTATTATTCTAAGGTGGAAACATTAAAAAAATAACAATAAATTGGTTGCATTTGCTTATTTTATTTACTCGTAGAAAAAGTTTGTATGCAATTTTCAAATCAAATCATTTTATTCGTCATCATGGGTACAATAAAGATGTTAACATTTATTATAATCGCCATGACGTACCATCAAGGCATACGAATTATATTATTATTATTAATTATACTTGTCCAAATAATAATAATAAAAATAACAATAATAATAATGATTAACAATCACACAGTCTTAAAATCTAAAACACTTAGGATAGTCACCTATCACAAGTCGAAATTTTTTTTGTCCGAAATAACGTTTGTTAGAATTTTCATTACACCGAAAACCGAGTTATAAGGGAACAGTTGTTCTTTCAGGATATGTTAAATGTTTATCACAAAGACACGTTAGGTTAAGTTAGGTATAAAAGAAAAAACATTTTCCTCACAAAATTACTTTCGAGGTTATGAAATTTCGAGCAATCATTAACGCTTCTGGAAAATGTCATTTCGGACTTCTGATTAGGTAACCACTTAGGACATTAAAACAAAAGTATTTTCATTAAAATAACAATCAATATAAATAAATCAATGTCATACAGTTACGTTCGTCTCAATAATAAATAAAATTAATGTGCGTTTAAATTCTGCGAAATTTTCATTCCGCCTTAACTGTAATGGCAATTTGTTGTCGATTTTTGGTGCCATTGCGATTATACTCTTCTCAGACAGTGACGTTTTACAATTTGTTTGGCGTAGTTTGTAAGGACGTCATGCTACTGTAACTACACGAAAAAGTTCAGGGTGTCGTCGTATAATTTTAATAGTATTTTGTGCAATCGTTGCATAATTTATATATATAATTTTAATGGGGCCACTGTCATATTAAAGTTGCGATAAGTGGTAGCTGACGTACCTTCCAGGACGTGCGCAACCCCGGAACCAATCCTGTATCAGTCATTTAGTACAGTCATACTTGAAATATTGAACTTTGAAACAGTGTTATCACAAGTGGCATTATCGCGTTAAACCAAACACTGCAAGTCACAGTACAATGTTTTATAATTGCATTACAAGGATAATCTTTATCTACTTATGCAAATAAATCAATTTTTAATATATTGCAAAACGCAATTTTAATTCTTGGATAGAATTGCTAATGTACAAAGCTAGTAAAATGTAAGATTGGGTTGACACGGTAGAATTAAATTAGAATCTTGATTGTCAGTTTTGACATTAATAAAATTTTTTTTTAAATTAATTATTATATTTTTATAAAAAATAAGTGCGCATTTGACCTCCATCTCACCTGATGGAAAGTGACGATGAGGTCGAGGATGTAGCATTCACACCTAAATAATGCCTATTTACCCTCGCCTTGAAAAGGTCCAAGTTATAGCGTTCGGGGAACAAGTCTGCTGGCATGGAATTCCACTCCCTAGCTGCTCGCCATTCAAACCCGGGGAATATCCACAACATCCATACCTTATAAACCCAAGTGAAGGGACGAACAAGTCGTGGGAAGAGGCGAACTCAGAGCTTTAATTCGCAAAGATGAGGCACCGCCACTGCGCCAGTCACCCTGGGACACACGTTGACAAGTCCCATGTGCCTGTAATTTCACTAGCACCCTTGCCCTTCAAAACCGGAACGCAGCAATGCTCATATTACCGCTTGGAGATAGAAGTAGATAAAGGCGGCAATACTACCCTCGATGAACTCTTTCACACGGGACTCTACTGCTACTGAACAACATGTATTTGTTCAGTAGTAGTGTAATGGGTATACGTAGCGAGGAAGGTGAAGAAAGACGCTTGAATCTCCAAATGCGCAACGGCTTTTATGAACGTAGTTGAATGATGGACACAGGAGACGTAATCGCGCTCATCCTCGATGTGAACTCACCGTCCCACCCGGTGGAAGCGGCAGCCGACGACCAAGAACGACGATGCTATGAGCTTTCATCCACGTAATCCCACACGGTGGAAGAACTAGAATGCCACTCATAGGCCCTATGATTCGACATAAAGCAATTTGCTGTTGCAACTTAAATGGTAATTTAGTTAACAAGTGTTAATATAGCGATAGTGCGTTCTGTTTAAATCCCAACGCCATCTAGCAGCAAGGCGAAGTTACTAATATTTCTTGTACGTGGTGTTACAATACATAAATAACGACTATTTTGTCACCAATTCTTGTCTAACCTTGGATTAACTAACTCACTTGTATATAACGATAAACCAATGCAAATTGACGTAATTAACATTATATATTATTTACTAGCTGGTGCCCGCGACTCCGTCTGCATAGAATATGTACTTCGAGTAGCTTACTGTGCTATACAAATTTCATAGATTTTTTTTAACGCACACTCTAGGAAAACCCTGTATCGCAGGTCCCATGAACACACTAATAGACAACCACAAAATCAAGAGATAAATAAATGTAGGCCATACAAATATTTCTCCCGGCCCGGGAATCAAACCCGGGATCTTTGCGTGGCAGTCCAGCACGGCCCGTTCGGTCACGGAGGTAGTTAAATTTTATTGGTTTTCCATATAAACTCTAATCCCCTATTTCACCCCGTTTAAGATTTATTTTTGTGACAAAAAGTAGCCTTTGTCCTTTTCCTAGGTCCCATCTACCTCCATATTAAAATTCATCAAAATCGGTTCAGCGATTTAGGAATGATAACAGACAGAGTTACCGCATTTATATTATTACTTTGGATTAAATAAGTTCAGTAAAATTACGCGGAAACGCGGAGAACGGACGACCTCGGCATACATATGACAACAACATTAAGGATGCCCTTAAAAAAGATCAAAAGAAACAACTATAAGTAAACGTGTAAGAAAATTGAAGCACGTGAGGTCCAATTTCTGCCGACACAATTGGTAAGACAGTTATTTCCGAGGCAATTTTTATTATGTAAGTGCCCCTTGGTTTGATCACGTTAAGTTAAGCAGGGGTCAAATTGTCAGCGCGGTTAGGGTTCGATCCGGACACGTTCCATTATACAAATTTTTGTATTTGATGCGGAGGGTGAACTCACGGAATTGCGAAGTGTGTGGGACTCCTGAGGATGTAGGTTATCACATTTGCTCACGGAGTGTGTTTAGACGGAACCTGCGAGGGCGCGGTTATTTGCACAGCCTAGTTTCCATACATTTAATGTTGGGTGGTTTCAATCTGTTTTGTAGGAGTCAATATGTAGTGCCGCGGAGATTTTGTATACATCTAGGTAGTATTTTGATATATCTGTCTGGATTATGTTAAGTGTTTTCTTGAGGCCCCATTTTTCTACTGGGGCTAATATGTTCAATAACGATCAAAGCCCCTAAATAAATAAAAAGTCAAAAAATATATTTTATTTTTTATCGCGAAATATTATTTAATAATTACACGATAATATACTTGAATATTTATATAATAAAAATGACAGACGCAAAGATATGTATGTATGTTCTATTAATAGCAGTACAGCTCGTCGTGAACAAATTCGTTCAGGGAAGTACTGCCACTAACTATTTCTGTCTCCAAGAAGTTAATGTGAGCATTACTGCTTTTCAGTTTGTTACAGGGACTTGTCAACTTATGTCTCAGGGTTGCGCATGCCTCAGAGATCTTCATGATTTAAAACTCTGAAAGGCACTGCTACTGCTATAGACAGGCGTGTCGCTTACCACCAAGCGCACGACTTGTTCGTGTTTCGTATCATAAATAAAAAGGTACGTAATTATATTTGACAACCAACATAGAAACGCGGGGAAGGTGATCTCGGCATGCATACCTATATCAGCCAGACTGAAGATGTCCTCAAAAACGCTTAAAAGTAACAAGAAGACACAAACGTGTATCAAAAGACTGATGCGAATAAGGTCCAGTTTCAGCCTACACCAGTGGGAGACAAACGTAATGGTATAAATGTAAGTATATTTAACAACTACGCTGAAAACGTGTGGAAAGATCACCC